TTTTTCACATGCGTAGAAAGAAGAACTAGAAGAAATTAGATCTCAACATGATACATTCAAGTCTTACCCTTTCATTTTAGTAGAAGCTTACGTACGTCAAGTGTCTCAATGTTTATTTGTAAATTAAATGACTTGCTCAAATTTCTATATCTATTTCTAGGTTAAGTACCATTTGTTAAATTTGTAGACATAAAACCTATATACTAGTAAAACAAATCTCTATAGTCACTTGAATATTCGTGGTTGTGCCTTAATATCCGTGGATATAGTGTCGTAGTTTAAATAATTCGTGGCTTTTTAAAAAAAAATCTCTTTATAGCCGAGAATTTTCGTAACTGCCAAGTGGTTATAGGTATTTTTTTATTACTAGTATGTATAGGTTATGAGTTTTTGCAACTTCTTTACAAGAAGATTAAGCTATACAATGTAAAACATTAGTTTGGATTTTATTAAATACAGATATACATATATGTTTGACGATAACATTTGACATCAATAATAATTATTAATAACATAACATATCTTCATATTTGATATAAAACAAATAATTTAGACATCATATGATCTAGACATCACGGTGACAACGTGTAGAATCTTGACAACCACGACGATAAGGATTAACAAGTTCTTTAACACATTCTTTAGGATTTTTACTGCCACATGCAGGGATTCTATCTTTTGCAATAGCTCCATATCCTAAATAATTTCCTTCTACTCTTGATCCGCTGAAGAATGATAACATAATCATTATCGAAACAAAGAAGAAACATGTAAGGCTCTTTTTGGATGCAGCCATTGTTTCTTAAAAAACTAAAAACTAAAAAATATAATCTTATTGAACTTTTATTTAGTTGTATTATGATCTATTTAATGATAACTTGTGTTGCTTTGATTTATAGTAAGAGAGATGATTCTAAATAAAGATTGCCATAGCATAATGCATGGGCATGAAAAATTTATTCGCTATTTATATGTCATTTACGGTTTTCAGTTTTTCTCATTAGCAGGAATCTTCAAAATGTAAATGATATACAATGGCATGGCAACAACTTGTAACTGTTTAACAAATTTAAATCAATATTGTGTGATCGTATTTTCTAAGCTTTCAGTTAGTATATCTAGCAGCAAAGAACTAAAAAGTTTGTTACCTTTTTCCCCCTTATATCACTTTGGTGACATCCCTCCTCTTACTTAAATGATCATTGAATTTTGATGTTTTGCTTATTTTTAGATTCTTTCTCATCATTTCTAATTTTTATTTTTTAATTAATTTTCTATTATGATTGTATCTGTTTGACATATATATGAATTATCAAATTGAACATGTATATATAATATGTCATGGACATCGGATCCGACCACTGAGATGTAAATACTATTTGTGGGTTAAAAAATCACCAAGGTTAATAAGGTACACCATCCCTATATTTCTCTGTATTTTTGTATGTTATGAATTTTACATATAAAAAAGTTATAGACACAAAATATTATTTTATCCCGAATGATTCTCCAAGGAGTCCTCTTTTTAGTTGTTTAAGGGTTCTATATTTATAGGTCGGAATTGAATTAATTGGGTTGATTAGTCCCTTGATTTTTCTAAAATACTTCCATTTTTATATTGTCTTCATTGTCGCAACATCCTAAATTTGAACTGAGCTTTTTAGAGAATATTTCCTCGGGCTCGCTCTTGGGTTCCAAGCATGAACAACAATCGAATAAAGCTAGCCTACAGTAGATAAGTTCTAGGTCGCTTTCCGGTTCTTTATTGTGCGCTTATGAACCACTCATGAGCTTGTATAGGGTTGTGGCTTCCAGGCCTTCCAATTCAGGTATTTATATTATGGGTTCCTTCCTTCCATAAATGTCATCCAAGTTGACCCACGTGGACATTATATCTGGTTCTATATTGGGCTCGAAATCTCTACTAATAGGTTTGGATATTATAACAAAAGACCAACACCAAAAGCAGAAGAACATGTATCAACTAGGATACTAGAAGGTAGAGAATTCGAAAGAATGAGGTAGATCAGATCTTTCTCAAAATCCGCTGAATCTAGTTCATTTGTTCCGTTGGTGAGTTCTTGAATTAGAATGTGTTCCAACAATGCAACATCTTTTTTTCACATGCGTAGAAAGAAGAACTAGAAGAAATTAGATCTCAACATGATACATTCAAGTCTTACCCTTTTATTTTAGTAGAAGCTTACGTACGTCAAGTGTCTCAATGTATATTTGTAGATTAAATGACTTGCTAAAATTTCTATATCTCTTTCTAGGTTAAGTACCATTTGTTAAAATTTGTAGACATAAAACCTATATACTAGTAAAACAAATCTCTATAGTCACTTAAATATTCGTGGTTGTGCCTTACTATCCGTGGATATATTGTCGTAGTTTAAATAATTCGTGGCTTTTTAAAAAAAATCTCTTTATAGCCGAGAATTTTCGTAACTGCCAAGTGGTTATAGGTATTTTTTATTACTAGTATGTATAGGTTATGAGTTTTTGCAACTTCTTTACAAGAAGATTAAGCTATACAATGTAAAACATTAGTTTGGATTTTATTAAATACAGATATACATATAAGTTTGACGATAACATTTGACATCAATAATAATTACTAATAACATAACATATCTTCATATTTGATATAAAACATATAATTTGGACATCATATGATTTAGACATCACGGTGACAACGTGTAGAATCTTGACAACCACGACGATAAGGATTAACAAGTTCTTTAACACATTCTTTAGGATTTTTACTGCCACATGCAGGGATTCTATCTTTTGCAATAGCTCCATATCCTAAAAAATTTCCTTCTACTCCTGATACACTGAAGAATGATAACATAATCATTATCGAAACAAAGAAGAAACATGTAAGGCTCTTTTTGGATGCAGCCATTGTTTCTTAAAAAACTAAAAACTAAAAAATATAATCTTATTGAACTTTTATTTAGTTGTATTATGATCTATTTAATGATAACTTGTGTTGCTTTGATTTATAGTAAGAGAGATGATTCTAAATAAAGATTGCCATGGCATAATGCATGGGCATGAAAAACTTATTCGCTATTTATATGTCATTTACGGTTTTCAGTTTTTTCTCATAAGCAGGAATCTTCAAAATGTAAATGATATACAATGGCATGGCAACAACTTGTAACTGTTTAACAAATTTAAATGAATATTGTGTGATCGTGTTTTCTAAGCTTTCAGTTAGTATATCTAGAAGCAAAGAAATAAAAAGTTTGATACCTTTTTCCCCCTTATATCACTTTGGTGACATCCCTCCTCTTACTTAAATGATCATTGAATTTTGATGTTTTGCTTATTTTAGATTCTTTCTCATCATTTCTAATTTTTATTTTTTTGATTAATTTTCTATTATGATTGTATCTGTTTGACATATATATGAATTATCAAATTGAACATGTATATATAATATGTCATGGACATCGGATCCGACCACTGAGATGTAAATACTATTTGTGGGTTAAAACATCACCAAGGTTAATAAGGTACACCATCCCTATATTTCTCTGTATTTTTGTATGTTATGAATTTTACATATAAAAAAGTTATAGACACAAAATATTATTTTATCCCGAATGATTCTCCAAGGAGTCCTCCTTTTAGTTGTTTAAGGGTTCTATATTTATAGGTCGCAATTGAAATAATTGGGTTGATTAGTCCCTTGATTTTTCTAAAATACTTCCATTTTTATATTGCCTTCATTGTCGCAACATCCTAAATTTGAACTGATATGAGCTTTTTAGAGAATTTTTCCTCGGGCTCGCTCTTGGGTTCCAAGCTTGAACAACAATCGAATGAAGCTAGCCTACAGTAGATAAGTTCTAGGTTGCTTTCCGGTTTTTTACTGTGTGCTTATGAACCACTCATGAGCTTGTATAGGGTTGTGGTTTCCAGGCCTTCCAGTTCAGGTAGTTATATTATGGGTTCCTTCCTTCTTTAAATGTCATCCAGGTTGAGCCATGTAGACATTATATCTGGTTCTCTGTTGGGCTCGAAATCTCTACTAATAGGTTTGGATATTCTAACAAAAGACCAACACCAAAAGCAGAAGAATATGTATCAACTAGGATACTAGAAGGTAGAGAATTCGAAAGAATGAGGTAGATCAGATCTTTCTCAAAATCCACTGCATCTAGTTCATTTGTTCCGTTGGTGAGTTCTTGAATTAGAATGTGTTCCAACAATGCAACATTTTTTTTTTCACATGCGTAGAAAGAAGAACTAGAAGAAATTAGATCTCAACATGATACATTCAAGTCTTACCCTTTCATTTTAGTAGAAGCTTACGTACGTCAAGTGTCTCAATGTTTATTTGTAAATTAAATGACTTGCTCAAATTTCTATATCTATTTCTAGGTTAAGTACCATTTGTTAAATTTGTAGACATAAAACCTATATACTAGTAAAACAAATCTCTATAGTCACTTGAATATTCGTGGTTGTGCCTTAATATCCGTGGATATAGTGTCGTAGTTTAAATAATTCGTGGCTTTTTAAAAAAAATCTCTTTATAGCCGAGAATTTTCGTAACTGCCAAGTGGTTATATGTATTTTTTTATAACTAGTATGTATAGGTTATGAGTTTTTGCAACTTCTTTACAAGAAGATTAAGCTATACAATGTAAAACATTAGTTTGGATTTTATTAAATACAGATATACATATATGTTTGACGATAACATTTGACATCAATAATAATTATTAATAACATAACATATCTTCATATTTGATATAAAACAAATAATTTAGACATCATATGATTTAGACATCACGGTGACAACGTGTAGAATCTTGACAACCACGACGATAAGGATTAACAAGTTCTTTAACACATTCTTTAGGATTTTTACTGCCACATGCAGGGATTCTATCTTTTGCAATAGCTCCATATCCTAAAAAATTTCCTTCTACTCCTGATACACTGAAGAATGATAACATAATCATTATCGAAACAAAGAAGAAACATGTAAGGCTCTTTTTGGATGCAGCCATTGTTTCTTAAAAACCTAAATACTAAAAAAAAAAAAATCCTCTTGAACTTTTATTTAGTTGTATTATGATCTATTTAATGATAACTTGTGTTGCTTTGATTTATAATAAGAGAGATGATTCTAAATAAAGATTGCCATAGCATAATGCATGGGCATGAAAAACTTATTCGCTATTTATATGTCATTTACGGTTTTCAGTTTTTCTCATAAGCAGGAATCTTCAAAATGTAAATGATATACAATGGCATGACAACAACTTGTAACTGTTTAACAAATTCAAATGGATATTGTGTGATCGTGTTTTCTAAACTTTCAGTTAGTGTATCTAGAAGCAAAGAAATAAAAAGCTTGATACCTTTTTTTTTTTGTTCCCTTATATCACTTTGGTGACATCCCTCACAGAGCTTTGACATCTTCTTACTTATATATATGATCACTGAGTTTTGATATTTTGCTTATTTTAGTTTGTTTCTCATCATTTCTAATTTTTATTTTTTGATTAAATTTCTATTATCTTCGTACCTTTTTGACATATATCTGAATTTTCAAACTGAGCATCTCATTAATATATAAGATTATAGACACAAAGTATTATTTTATTCCAAATTATGATTCTCCAAGTAATCCTCTTTAATTGTTTAGGGTTCTATATTTATATGTTGCAATCGATTATATTCGATATTTGGCTGATCAATCTCTTGATTTTCCTATAATGCTTCCATTTTGATATTGCCTTCATTATTGTAACATCTTGAATTTGAACT